CTCCTCCTCCTCCTCCTCCTCCTCCTCCTCCTCCAAGTTTGGAGAGGGACATGTTCTCATTATTCTGATGAGACACAGGCAAAACATATCCATTATGGTTTTCTGACACTTTTATATCAGTGCATGGCAAATTGCTTATGGGAACTTGAGCACAAGTGTCTTTGGGAACATCCACAGGAGTGGGTTCAGATGGTGAAAGAGAAGGCCTATTAGCTGACTCACCAGGGGACTGTGAGTCAGAAAACGTATCCTGTGGCTTTGGTATGGCTGTTGGAGGTAAATCTTTGGTATCAAGGGTGATGGAAATGTCTTGTGCTGTATCAGTCATATTTTCAAGTACAAGTCCTTTGCTGTTAGCAGCCTTCGAGTCATCCTCTCCCAAGAGCTTGTGGTCCTTGCCAGGAACCAGAGCTGCAACCACCTGTTCTGAAGGACAGACAGCATCCGTTCGCACATCTGCTTTATCTCCTTGGTTAAGCTGAGAACCAAGAGTTTGATCTTCGGTAGGATCTCCTTCGATTGCTCTTATATTGGGACTCCCACTCACAGTCTCCTCTTCAGGGACAGTCACTTTGGTTTCTACCGGGGTTTCCTTCACCAGCACACTGTTCTGGTGACTGTTTGGCATTACTTTCTTTTCCGGTTGCTCCATTTCCTTTGCTTTTTTGGCTAAATTCAGTTTTGCCTGCCCAACAAATGTTTTATTAGAGGGAAGAATGTTCTTGGCGCCTCGAGCGTCAGCATGTTTTGGGCTACTGTTTGCCCGTTTGTTTTCAAATAAGGAGATTTTGGTGGCAGTGTTTCCTTTGTGAACTGGCTGGCTAAATGGATTATGCTCATTTCCCAAACTGTCAAGATTCTTAGAGTTTTTAAGATTTAGTTCCACATGTTTGGGCTTGGCAGGACTGTAAGGACAAAGCAATGAAATAAAGTTATTGGCCTAGCTTTAAAAAGTGAACACACAAACTAATTTATTTCTAAACCTATGAAAAGCCAACATCTCTCTGCATAACATTCATTATTTAGGAAACTTTTTTTAAAACCCTAAACACTCTATTGACTATTTTTAATGGATGTTTTGCTTGTACATGAGGAATGAAAAGATAATATAGCAAAGAAACTCTGGTGGGGTTTTAACTCACTCAACAAATTTACTGAGTGCCTAATATATATGCACAGTGCTTGGCACTAGAGTTGGAAGACAACATCTTAGGGCCCGAAGAACATTAGAACAAGTTAAAATACTTAATGTACTTCCATACTTCAAATATATAATTTAAATAATATAATTCTCCCAAACATCAATTATGTAAATTTTTCACCGTAGCTTTTAAAATGTGATCTCAAAAGGCTAGATGAGGAAAAATATTTTTCTATTATCGACCTCTTTGGATTTTTTTATTCTCTTACCCCCATAAGTTTTTTCTTACTATTTTAATGTATCCACTATAGAAATTTAGAAGATACAAAAAAGAAAAACTCATAATCCAATCCCATGCACAAGAATATCCCGAAACATTTTAGTCTATTTCAAGTCTTTTTACATGCAGTTATATATTTTTAAGAGAACTGAGATTATTCTTTTCATAGAGCTTTATATCTTGTCTTTATTTTTAAAAATTACTTAGATTATAAAACAATAAAGATCATGGAAGAAAAAATAGGGACAATGCTAGGAGCCCTAAAAAAGGGCATAAACAGAATACAAAAAACATAAGTAACAATGCACAAACACCAGACAAGAAACTAGATAACTGGAAGCTCCTAAAAATTAAACACTTAAGCTCATCAAAAACTTCACCAAAAGAGTAGAAAGACAACCTACAGACTGGGAAAAAATTCTTGGCTACTGACATATCCAATCAGGGTCTAATCTCTAAAATTTACAAGACACTGCAAAACTTCAAACACAAAAAGACAAATAACCCAATTAAAAAACGGGCAAAGGATACAAACAGGCACTTCACCAAAGAAGAAGACCTTTAGGTGGCTAAAAGACACATGAGGAAATGCTCACGATCATTAGCCATTTGAGAAATCAAATCAAAACTACAATGAGATATCATCTCACCCCCAACGAGTCTAGCATTAATTCAAAAAACACAAAATAATAAATGTTGGACATGTTGTGGAGAGACTGGAACACTTATACACTGTTGGTGGGAATGTAAAATGGTACAACCACTTTAGAAATTGATTTGGCACTTCCTTAAAAAGGTAGAAATAGAAGCACCATACAATCCAGCATATAGTCCTTGGAATATATCCTAGAGAAATAAGAGCCATCACACGAATAGATAAATGTACACCCATGCTCACTGCAGCACTGTTCACAATAGCAAAAAGATGGAAACAACCTAGGTGCCCAACAACAGATGAATGGATAAACAAATTACGGTATATTCACATGATGGAATCCTATGCAACTATAAAGAGCAACGATGAACCTGTGAAACATCTCATAACATGGATGAATCTAGAAGGCATTAGGCTGAGTGAAATTAGTTAATAGCAAAAGGACAAATATTGTATGAGACCACTATTATAAGAACTCAAGAAAAGGTTTAAACACGTAAGAAAACATTCTTTGATGGTCATTAGGGTGGGTAGGGAGGGAGAGGGGAATTCACTAACTAGATAGTAGACAAGAATTATCTTAAGTGAAGGGAAGGACAACACACAATACAGGAGAAGTCAGCACAGCTGGACTAAACCAAAAGCTAAGAAGTTTCCTGAACACAACCAAACACTTCAAGGGACAGTGTAGCAAAGGCAGAGGTCTGGGGCCCACGGTTTCAGGGGACATCTAGGTC